ACCTAGGCTGCGCGCGGACTCAACCTATGACCGAGGAGGCTATCCGAGGAAAAAATGGATAAGTACCGGAGGCGCCGGAAGAACAGGAAGGCCAAGCGCCAGACCGAGCGTTTCGAGGAGGTCGAGGGCGAGAACGAGGACTCGAACGAGGGCGACGACGAACAGGAAGAAGATATTGCGGAGCACGCGGGGCCCCGTGGCGGACAACCAAGTGCATCATTTGGCGACCGTGTTGACGGCAACGACGCCCCGTGGCAGTGCGATGCGCCTTGCGAAGCCTGCGTCGAGAGGAGTATCATCGTTGATGGTCTGGCCTATAAAGAAGAGAGGAGGAAGGAAGAGGAATGGCAAGAAGCGCCCGAGCCGTCTCTAGAGGCGCCAGAGAGCGGAGTTCCAGCGGCGAGAGGAACCAATAGATTTGCGACAGGAGTACAACGTCCTCGCGCTAGCGTCTGCCACGCTGACCACGCGGCCCAGGAGACAGCCCAGCAGACAGCCCAGGGGATTCCCGGGGAGAACAAGCCACTTTTCCCGAGACCTGGACTTCGGTTACGTTGCCAAGTTCGCGGCAAGTCGGGAGGTTAGCGAAGAAGCTGGACTGCGCATTTTTGTGGGCGACCTGTTGGAGATCCCCGACGACGAGCCCAATATCCCACCTCGCAAGAATCTCGGGCACGTCTACTTGGTTCACACGAGGTGCAGGGGCCGCAGTATCGTTCTCGTAAAGATGTGGTGTATCAGGGCGTTCAGAATTTGGATTTCTTGCAAGGGATCACTACAGTCGGGGCCCTGAAGAAGGAACCCTTTTGGTTGGGGAGGGGCTTCGCGTTCCTTCATCGTTTCGCAGCGTGCCCCACGTTTTCCTCAGGTTTTCGAAGGGAAATCGAAGTTCAACTTCTGGAGAAGAGGGGCCTCGTTCCTTATTTAGGGTTCCTTAGGTCAGCGCCCCAACTGTACCGCGCCTGGGTCACCGCGTGCGACCTCATAGCTCTACCAGACCTGCTACCGGCATGCCAACAGCCACTGGACTACATGATGAAGGTGGAGAAGGAGAGGATCCTGCAGATGAAGCAAGGCATGGTGAGGCAGGCGAAAGTGACGAAGGACGAATGATCCGAACTCGAGAGGAACGGGCGCTGGCCTACCGGCGATGTGGTCTGTTACCTAGCACCAAGGAGCCGTGCGCAGACGCTCGCTCAGAATTCGAGTTCCAGCGCGACCTTCAACGACCCTGCGTCGGAGATGATGGCCGGGCCGTCAGTGCCCGAGACGGCCTACTTTCTGTGCTTCGCTGAAGTTGCTGACGCCAATGCCATTCGGCATCGTTCAGAGTCTGGTCGGGTCGCGCAAAGCGTTCAAGTGCGAAATCGCGCGGGGCTACCTGAAGGCCGGGCGCGAGACTAGGGGCGACGACAACGTATATTTCCAGGTGTGCACGGACACCGAGCTCAATGGCCCCTCCGATCTTCGCCCGGTGTCAGAGTTCGTCGGGGCGCCATTCGCAGATCTGCCTCGCCGGGCACCTGCAGCGCGAGCCATCGCCCCCAGCGTGGGCCGCAGCGACCTTCAGAAGATCGGTAGACATCTATGGCATTGTCCCCGAGAAATGCAGCAGGCAGATGATGGTCGACAGTTCAGGGGGAGAGTTGGCGAAAGAAGTCGAGAAGGCCATCGTGGACATCATGGGCCAGATCAGGATTTTCGGAGAGGCAGGCGGAGGAGAAGAAATGGCGCGCATGTAGGGGGACCTCAGCGAGTTGAACGGTGCAGTGGGCGCCCTCAAAGGCTTAGTAGTCGAGAACCCTCCACCGATCGGCGGACGCGTCTCCGAAGCCATGCAGGCAGCGGCGACTGTTGATCACTTCGCCGCAGCTCCAGGACTGGAAGGACCTCCAGCAGAGCAGGGTCCGAAATTTCATGGACCTAAGGGAAAGAGTGCATCGGCGACCGCTGGAAGACGGGCCGCAAGGCCGAAGTGGCGAGAGACCGCCAACTCGACACCCTCCTGCATTCTGTTTGTTCTGGTCGCGTTCGCTCTGGAAGCTCAATTTGGGATCAAGGCGCCTGCTCTACTCGTGAACATCTCGAGACTCACCGACGGTCCTCATGCCCAGGGCCGAGTGCGCATCCAACCGGACAGTGGTGGATTCTGGATTTGACGCCGATATGCGTTCGGGAGATGCGGCGCGGCGAGGAGCTCAACGAGAAGGAGGCCCAGATCGAGACTGCCTTCAACGGCGCCAATTTGGCAGCGTTGGCATCTATTCGGGGCAAGAAAGGCTTGTTTGAATTGAAGCAAGGACCTTGGTTGTGAAAGCGTCTACGGCGTTCTCTGCGAAAAGGACATCTCGACGCACCTTGCACTCACTTCGCGGTGCATGCGTCGTCTGACGTCAGCCCAGAGATAAACGCGTACTCCTGCGTCTTCGAGCTGCAGGTGGACCGCCGCCGTCGCGCAGGCGATCCCGCGCAGCATGTCCACAGGCAGTGGCGTCAGACCGAAGGCGGCTATCTACGTTGAGGCGCTCAGGATCCACGCTGCGACGATAGGGGGGGGGGGGGCAGTGGCAGGCGCGGGGGCAAGTCTCTGGATGGCGCAGGGTCCGGCATCGCGCGGTCAGCGTGCACCTCGCGGCAAAGGCCGCCCCGAGAGCGTTTCCGATGGTACGCGCGTGCTCAGAGGAAGCGATCGAGGACTCCGACTTCCCGCTTCTCTAGGTTAAGTTGGTTCCCGAGGACGAGAGGTCGTTCATTTGTGGGCCGAGGATCGCATCGCGGTATATCGGTTCTGGGGGCTCACTGGCAAAACATACGACCATCGCGGAACCGAGCCGCAGGGTTTCATGGGCCAGATGGGGCAGGTTATGGTCGCAGCGAAGCCGGGCGAACTCCTTGTCATCATGGACCTCGAGTCAGACAATCCCTTCAAGGATATGCTCTCGAGTCGTACGTGTTCGTGGAGCTGTGCTGGCCACATGTCGCAGAGACTCTGCTAGTACGTGGAATGGCTACGGTATCTACTGAGAGACGAATTTCCTGTCCTCAGGCGAGGCGGCGTTTTGGCTGCAAGAGAATAGGAGCTGTGGTTCTGAGTGTCAGCCTCTCCTCCTCCTTCGCCTCTCTCTGTGCTCCGTTGTGCGCCGCCATATCGGCTCGCGAGGGCCCTTGAGCTATCGTGGCGCGCCGGTGACGGACGCGCCCACGCTTCCGTAAAAGGAAAAAGTCGTGCTCTCTTCTAGCACGGGCCCCCCTACTTGTACCTCGTGTCTCTCTGTTCCCATGCTTTCGCACCCGCGCAATCCACGCGGGGGGACCATCCGGGTGTATCGCCTCAATCGCGATGTGGTTCGCTATTTTTGCATGGCCAACCGTGAGAGCGGGCGAACATACAGGGATTTGAGGCAATGTGTGTGGATAGGCGGGAGGGCCCGTAGGCCAGATGTTCGTGTTGGCGCACCTATGGTTTGGCTCCCTCTCTTTCTGTCCATATATGTACCTTGTTGTTGTTATTGTTGGTGTTGTTGTTGTTGTTGTTGTTGCTGTTGCTGCTGCTGCTGCTGTTGTTGCTGTTGTTGCTGTTGTTGATGTTGTTGTTGTTGTTGTTGTTGTTGTAGTTGTTGTTGTTGTTAATGTTGTTGTTGTTGTTGTTGTTGTTGTTGTTGTTGTTGTTGTTGTTGTTGTTGTTGTTGTTGAACATTATTAATTCTAAAGAATAATTATTGTTGGGCCCCCTGGTGCGCGCCCCCCCCGCCGCGCCTAGGCCGCAGCCACGTTTTCATCATTTTCGTGAGGAAGCCTCAGGTAATTCGAGGTGATCAAGATCCGGTTGTTTTGTTGTAATCCGTTTTCCCTTGCAAAAAACACTATAAAATGACATTTCTTGTTCTAATATAATCAAATTTCAAGAATCCCTTGCAAAAAATAAGGTAAAGTGGACATTCGCGCGCGCAAGACGAAATCCTTCCAAAAGCTTAGTGTTCGGAGCGATTTTAACATAAAAACATCAAAAAACCAATGGTTTTTCAACAAAAAAATGTCAAAATCTCATCCCGCGCGCTCTTGCGGATTCGTAGGAAACCCAACACTTTTTAAACATTTCTGTCAAACGGGCTTTTGCGAGCAACTTTTTCGAACTTCTGCGACAACGGTTGCGCACCTGCCAGGGCCATCATCCCTGTCAAATAATACCATGCGGGACACATTCGTTTTTTCTTCGCGCGCGCACGCCGTCGTCGTCGGCCGCGGGGCCCTGAATAGTAGCCACGGTCGTCCGCATGCCACGAAGTGAAGTGTCCGAACGTCATAGGGCGGGAAGCTGGGTGTGGGTGGTGGCGAAGAGTCGTTTGGAAATTTGGTAGAGCTTGAACCGGCCCCCCCACAAAGTGGGGGTATTGCCCGCCTCCTATGAAAACCCTGGCACTGGTGAGAACGGAGTGTCCCCACGTGCTAGTAATTGTTGTTGTTGTTGTTGTTGTTGTTGTTGTTGTTGTTGTTGTTGTTGTTGTTGTGTTGATGTTGTTATTGTTGTTGCTGTTGCTGCTGCTGCTGTTGTTGCTGTTGTTGCTGTTGTTGATGTTGATGTTGTTGTTGTTGTTGTTGTTGTTGTTGTTGTTGTTGTTGTTGTTGTTGTTGTTGTTGTTGTTGTTGTTGTTGTTGTTCATCTCTCTTTCTCTCTTTCTCTCTCTCTCTCTCCCTCTCTCTTCCTCTCTCTCTCTTCTGGCTATATCTCTTCTTTGCCATTCCCCCGAATTCCCCCCTCGCCACTGGGATGCGCCAGGGCCTTCATCCGTTGCCACGCGCCCGATGCCGTTTCTTTTTGTTCCTTTCTCAACGTGGGTTTTCGGAGATTTCGCCCTCCCCGTGGAGGCATAAAGATACCCGGGTCCGCTCGTTGCGCTTTTGACTATGAGGGGGGATCTGGGTTCCCAAGTCCGTCCTTCCCCCTTTGCCCCTCCCCCACATTTGTTTGCCTCTCCTGCCCCCCCCCCCCCCCGCCGCAGTCGGGGTGGTCGGCCCCCAAGAAGGACTGGTGCTGCAACAACGAGCAGAAGGTGCCGCTGACATGGGAGGGGGTGTGGAAGTCAGGGGAGGAACAAGAGGAGGAGGAGGAGGAGGAGGAGGAGGAGGAGGAGGAGGAGGAGGACGAGGACGAGGAGGAGGAAAAGGATGAGGGGGGACGAGGAGGATGATGAGGGGGACGAGGAGGAGGACGAGGAAAAGGAACAAGAGGAGGAGGATGAGGAAGACGGCAAAGAGGAGGCGAAAGAAGAGGAGGAGGAGGAGGAGGAAGAAAAGGAGGAGGAATCGGATGCCCGCTCAGGTACGTTTTGGTGTTCGCAGGCATTTGTTTTGCTCAAAGGCGTGTTGTGGTGCTTGGGTCCACGAAGTTCGCTGTGCAACTTTGCAGCAGTCGGTCTCGCGAAACTGACAAGGCTGCCGCGCGGTGCCTGTTTGTTGGGGGGGTCCAGCGTCGACGGCTGGAGAGCGGGGGCTTGCCAATTGGGCACCAAATGGTTTGAGCGCTTTCTTGCCAATGTGTTGTGCCACGGCGCATCCGGCTCGCGAAACATGTCTACGCATGCGCACGACAGATGTACCAATCCATGTTAATTAGCGTCGCCCCCAAACAATGAGATGTTCCATCGTGAATGTGTGATCGATGAGTCGTGGTGTGTGTGTGTGTGTGTGTGTGTGGTGTTAGCTGCGAGGTGCAGGCTAGGTGGCGCAATCGACTTGTCCGTCAGCTGCGAGTCGGCGAGATCAGTTTCAGCGAAAAGCTAGATAGGGGCACTAACTAGCGAATTGGCTGGCGAGTAGAGAGGAGGGACGGCCGAGAGTAGGAACGGACGTTCAGACGCCGAAAAGTTTGACGATGAGCAGCCTGGGGGGATGCAGCCGCCAAGCGAGCAGGGCCAGAACGCGGTGGGCGGCCGTGGCGAACCACGGAGGCAAACGTGGCGGGAGGGCGGCAACCAACTGCTGGAACTGGCGGGGAACGCTGTGGGACACCACGAACAGCGTACCGCGGCGCACCGAGGAGAACGCACAGCACTGAACCGTGCGGAAGCAAAAGCAGCGGCCATAATGCTGGTACTGACAGTGGTGCCGCGATGTGACCGCCGGACACCAGGTGGCCAGGGGGCTGGGAAAGGTGGGGCGGGCGGCGGTGTGCGAAACGTCCCAAACGCCCGCGGGCGGCGGGGCGGAAGACTACCGCGGGGAAGAGGAAACGCGGGGCAGCCGGGAGGGGCAGCGCAGCCAGATTTAGGCCAGACGAAAAGGGGGGATTGGGAATGGGGGGGGGTGCGAAATTTGTTGCGTGCAGCTGGTTCCGGCGATTTGCTTCTCAACCCCCCCTTTGTTATCCCCCCCTTTCGCCCGGCCCGACAAATGGTTGGCAAAAGGGCAGTGGCGGCGACCGCCCATGGCCGCGCCAGGGGTCAACATGGGCAGGTGGCGGCGGGCGAAGCGTCCCGGACGCCCGCAGGCAGCGGGGCGGAACAACATCGCGACGGGGGGGGGGCAGCGCGGGGCTGCCGCGGAAGGAGGGGGACACCGAGGGGTGCGGAAACCGAGTAGCAACGCACGGCGACGCAATGGGCGGCCAAGCGTGGTGCAACGGAGAAGCACCGAAATGGTGTAGGGGACTGAATGAGCGACGCGCCTCCCACGCGGGAGGTACGTCGCGAAGGGCGGCGGCGGCGGCGGGGAACGCCGAAAGGCGCAGAAGCCGCGCAACAACGCTGAGCAGCCCCATGGGCGGTCCAGCGTGGTGCAGCAGAGAAGCGCCGAAATGGCGCATGGGACAGGGAATGGGCGACGCGCGTCCCACGCGGGAGGCACGTCTCGGGGGGGCGGCGGTGGCGGGCATCGAAAGGCGCAGAAGACGGGTTACGACGCTAGGAGACCCAATGGGGGGTCCAGCGTGGTGCAGCAGAGAAGCACAGAAGTGGTGTAGGGGACGGTGAGTGAGCGACGGTCGTCTGGTTGCAGTAGGTGTTTAGCGCTGACGGCGGGCGCTGGGGGCGTCGTCCCAGGCCATGCCAAAACGGCGCTTGCCAGGCTTGCCGCCTTTTTCGCGCCCTTTGCCTTGCACGGCTGCCTCGCGTTCCCGCGCCTCTTGCCTGCGCGCGTTTTCGGCCTGGTTGCGCCAAACCTGGCCCCAGTCCGCGTGGATACCTTCCCACCAGCAGTGTTCATGGAAGTTGAAGTTCCAATGCCACAAATCGGCCATGACCTTTCGGCAACAGTCCTCGCTGGCAAGCGGGTCGTACCGCCCTTTGCCAATGCCCTCGTTGTCACGTTTGCCGCATGCGCGGTTTCAACCTTCGCCGAAGTACGAGCCAGCCACGATTCGGATACGTTTGACGACGGCACCCCAGCTTTCTAGGCCGCCTTGGATGTGCATGCGCTTAACACACACAAGGCGGGACCGTGGCAGGCGGTGGAACTTTTCGCCCGGGTCGAGCCAGGCTCGATCAGCATGGCCGTCGGGCCAGACCGGGCCCCGCATGCTGTCCATGCGATTGTCGATTTCGCGCCTGGCGCTGGCCGCGGCTTGCCCTGCCTCTTCCATGCAGTCGGGGTCGCTGCCGTGGCCGCGTGCAGGGGCGCTGGCTGTCGGCCCGCTAGCGCAGCACTTGGCCCGGGCAGCCCAGCGGCGCGCGGCTGGGCTGGACTGCGACTCCGCTGCTGGTTCAAAAGACCCAGATGCGTTCAACGCGGCCTGCAGCGGCGGGTTCGACGGCGTCGAGGACGTTGCTGAGCCCCTCCTGCCCCCGGGCCTGAGTGGGGTGGGAGGCGCGGGGCTGCCTGCGAACGGCGAACGTTAGCGGGTTCTGCTTCGCAGCCGAGCCCGCAGACCACCTGCGCTCGAGGTGCCGCCGGGCGTTGAGCTCGGGAGCAGCCTCGACGCCGCGCAGCCCGCGCCGCCGCCTGGGCCGCCACACCTGGCGCGCAGACGCCGGGGCGCCCCTGGGGCGCGCCCGTCGGTCGCCCGACCCGGGCGCGGGCGGCGGCGCGCCCGTCGACGCCAGATCAGGCCGAGAGGCCTGAGGCGCGGCCAGGACTCGACGGACCGTCGGTGGCGCGTGCCGCGCAGCAGGGCTGCGCATCGCGCCGCTCGTCGGCCTGCCCCTCGCCGCGTCGCCCTTGCCTCTGCGCGCCTGCCTGCAGGGGCGGCGGCCCTCGACGCGGCCTCGCAGAGACGGGCGCCCCCCCAGGCAAGGCGGCTGCTGCGCAGCTGGCGCATGGCCGCGCCAGGAGCTCAGCCCCGCCGCCCCGGCGCTCAAGCGGCGCTCGAAGGCGCTGGGCGGAGGGGCCGCGGCGGCGGGGTGTTCCTGGAGCTGCTCGCGGGCGCCAAGGGGGTCGCCAGCTGCTTGCGGGGCCTGGGCGGAGCCGTAGTCGCCATGGAGATTGCCGACTGCCCGCTGCAAGGCGCAAGCCTCTCAGGCGCCCGCGCGCTCCTGCTGGCGCGGGTCCGCCAGGGGCTCATCGACGGCGCGTGGTTCGGGGTGCCTTGCTCCACCTGGAGCGCCGCGCGGCGAGGGCAGCAAGACTTACCTGGCGGGCCTCTCCGAGCGCCGGACTGCCTCTGGGGGCGCCCCGAAACGGCGCAGCGGTCGGCCGACCAAGCCAGAATCCAGGTCGGCAGTTCAACGGCACAGCTTTCTTCGGCCATAATCACGGCCCGCGTTTCACGCGTCGCGGCGGTGGCCCTTCAGAATCCCGCGGGCCCTGTGGCGTGGGCGCCCCCGCGGTTGAGGCCCCTCTGCCGCGGGGCCCATGGCGCGCAGGTCGTTCTGGACTGCTGCCGGCGCGGCGCCGCATTCTGCAGGCGGAACCGGTTGCAAGGCTGGCGCGCTAACGACCTCAGCGTGCTGAAGCGAATACGCCGCGACAGAGGGGGCTCCTGCGCTCGGGCCAACCGCCCCCGCGCGGTGCTGGAGGGCTCAAAGATGGCGAGCGCCGCCGCTGCATATCCCCCAGACTTCGCGATGAATGCCGCCCGCGTGCTCTTCGAATCCGTGCAAAATACAAACCCTAAACTGATGTGGAACGGAATGACTTCCTGAAGTGTCGGGCGGCCTTCGCAAGTTCATGCTGCGCGCTCACTGGATTGGCTGCGCTGTTCAGCTACTTCGCGCGCCACGTTCTGGCGCCCGCTCGGTGCCGCTGGCGCGGGGGCAGGTCAGCTTCACGCAGTGGAAGAACGCGCCTTGGAGACCCAGCGGCCGCGCGGAGGATAGGATTTCTTTCAAAGGGCATCCTGAGGAAATGCGAGGGTCTCTGCCACCGGTCAATTCGTTTGAGTCGCATCCGTGCCGATGCCTCCAGTGCTCAAGCCGCCCCCTGCCCTCCCTCCCCTCATGTTCACTTTTCAATTGTCGGCCTCTCGGCGGATTGGTTACGCTGTTCAGTTACTTCGCGCGCCGCGTCTCGACGCCCGCTTGGCGCCGTTGGCGCCGGGGCAGATCGGCCTCGCACAGGAAAAGAACGCGCCCTCGAGACCCAGCGGCCTCGCAGAGTATGGTTAGGGGGGTCGATGATCATATCGATCGCGAGATCCATCGGGTGGAACCGATTTTGAGGTCGATGCGCGCGTCCGTAGTGACGCCGCGAGTGCGCTCGATCGCGGCAGCGACAGTGAGCTCGAATGAGCGAAACCAGGCGAGCGATATCGATAGTGAGGTGATGGTGGGAACCATGGTGAGGTCAATGGTGAAATTGCGTGCGGGGGTGACAGTGAGCTATATGTAGGTACGTCGGTCGAGCGGTCCCGGTATCGATAGCGAGAGCGCCACCGCGCGGTTTGATCTGCAGGGTCGGCGTCGCCTAGCCCCCAAACCTATTCTGAGACACCCAAAGCACGGGGAGAGGGGGGGCCGAGCAAGGGTGCGCGGCCCTCGGCTGTGAAGGCGATCGACAAGGCATGAGGTCTCGCTCGGTTGCCGTTCGCAGTCTTGACGCTTCGTGCACTCCCCGTCAGCCAACCCAACGCGCCAGTCATCGGGCGAGTTGCCGCGGTCAGCGGGATGGGCAATGAGGGTGGAGGGGCGGTCGAGGAACGATGGGCCATTAGCTGGGGTTGCGCAGCGCAGTGCGCTCTTTTTCCCAGAGGGGGAATGGGGGATGGATAGCGCTGCCTGCGTGGCCTTGCGCAGCTGCAAGCTGGATCTCCACGGGTCCGCGGGCAGCCACGTGCGCCCCCGACGGGGGTTTCATGAAGACGGCTTCAAACTTGCCACTACGAGGGCACCGCCACCAGATGTGCAAAAGCTGGCCCGGGGAGTGCGTGGACCGGCCGGGCGAGACGCTGGAGCAGCTTTCCCTCGACGAGGCCGTGACCCCGTGGTTCGACGGGCTCCGCCAGAGTGGCCGCCCCGCCGACGACGGGCCCGAGTTCCTGGCGGCGCTGCAGCGCCCGTGGCCCGAGCTCCGCGCGCAGAAGCAGCTGCCGCGGGCTTGGCGGGTGGCGCGGGGGCGGCGCAGGCTGCCCCCCGCCCGCGGCCGCGCTCCGCGGCCGTTCGCCGAGCTGCTGGGCTGGTCGTCGGCCTGCTGTGGCTGGGGCACTTCGAGGGCGCCGTGGGCGTGCTGGTCGCCTTCATGGGGTACTTCCGGCCCGGGGACCTCCTCGGGCTCTCGGCGGTGTCGATCGCGCCGCCCGTCCCGGGGGCCGGGGGGTCGCCCCGCTGGGCGCTGGCGCTGAGCGCTCGCGAGCTCGTGCGCCTCAACAAACCTACGAGTTTGACGAGATCGCGGTCCTGGACTAGCCGGACTGCAAACGGCTGGGCGTCCTCCTGGCCACGCTGAAGGAGCGGCCGCCGCAGGAGGACCCCTGGTCGGTCGACGCCGTGCACCTCGCGTCCGTGCTGCACAACGCGTCGATCGTGTCGGGTACCCGCGTAGCGCGCCCGCAGCTGCGCCCCTTTCGGCGCAGCAGCGCGCCCTTCGGCGCAGCGAGCCTTAGGTGCGAGAACGCGGCGTTAGCGCTGAGGGGGGCCGCCTGGCCCCCAGCGGAGACGCTCGCCTTCGCCCAGAGAGTCGAGGCGGACTTGCAGTCGTTCGTTCTCGGGGATCTGCCGCCGCTGGCGCCGTCGCTTGCCGCGACGTGGCTGCGGCGCTGAAGCAGCGTCCGGCGGCCGAGCTGGCCCGGGCGCGGCGCGAGCGCCGGGGCGGCGGGCTCTTCCTGGAGGCCAAGCGGATCGCCGGGTGTCTGCGGTCGCTCGGCGCCGCCGCCGTCATTGTCGAGGTGCGCGACTGCCGCCTGCAGGACCTCGCTCTCAGACCGGCCCAAGAGGCGCTGCTCAGCTGCATCAGGCTGGGGCTGATCGACGGGATGTGGCTTGGCACTCCGTGCTCGCCTTGAAGCGCCGCGCGGCGTGGGCAGGCGGGGCGCCCTGGCGGGCCGCTCCGAGAAGCCGATCGCATCTGGGGCCATCCATGCGCCTTGGCGCGCGCCGCCGACCGCGAGCGCATCGAGGTCGGCAACGCCGCGGCCCTGTTCGCCATCTCCGCGATCAGAGCATGCGTGCGCCGCAGACTTGCTGTACTCTTCGAGAACCCTGCTGGGTCCGCTCTCTGGAACATTCCTGCCGTTGCCAACCTTTTGTGAACGTTTGTGCAGCGCCGAGGCCATTCTCGATTATTGCCAATGCGGAGCCGCGTATCGCAATCGGACCCGCATCCAGGGATGGTGGGTCGCAGGGCTCGATCGGCTCCGTCGCATCTGGTCGGGAAAGACGGGGCTCTGCTCTCGGACTGGCTGCCGCCACCAAGTGCTTGGGGTTCGATGGTGAGGAGCAGCGCCGCCGCATGCCCCTGCAACTTCGCCCTGCGAGCAGCCTCCGTGCTTTTCAGTTCTGTTGCTGATTCAAGCCTGGAGAAAATGTCGTCCCTGATTCATCCTTAGGTTTTGCGGCCCCTGTCCAGAGTCATACTATGCGTGTTGATGGAGCTTCTGTGTCTGTACATCCTGCTGGCTCATCCGGTGCCCGTTCAGTAAGCCTTTCGTGGCATCGGATCGTGCAGCCAGATTTGCGCCTCACACAGAACACATGCCATGTCCTGTATATATACATATATATATATACACATAAGCAGCATGTATGTATCTGAGTGGCTGTGCATGTGGCGTTGCGCGCTCGACCGATCGTGTTTGCATGTCGGGGCTTCCATTTGGGTTGCTTGAGTTGTACGGGCGGGTTTGACGGGGTTTCGCGCGTGCGTTGGGTGGTAGTGGCGGGGTTTTGTTTTGTGCCCGGTTGGTGGCCGCCCGTGACTGCCTCGCGGGCGCTCCGCGCTGAGTTCGCCACAGCTCGCGCCACACAACTTGCATTACATGTATGGCATCACAGACCCAACGTCACATATATTTTTCACCACGTAGCTCGCAACGCATAGTTCGCACCACATATATCGTATCATGCACACAATTTGCAGCATACCTTGCCACGCACGGCTTGCACTTACCCGGTTCGTCCTACCCATTGTCGTCGTGATCTTGTATGTTATGATGTTGCATGGCATCGCGTTGATTCGCATTTTCAGTGCATCACGCAATTATGCCGCGCAGGATTCAGATTTGTATGTTTTCAGAGATACACGGAGTAGAGACGGTGGACACGACATGGCAATCAATTTTGGATGCAACGTGGTCGTCCAAAGACGTTTTTGGCAACACGTTGTTCCTTGTCCAGGGCAATGATTGGCCGCGTTGCACCTTGCATGCGCGCGAAAAGGGCATGGGGGAACGAGGAGGAGAATGATGAAATTATCCATATAAACAAGCACAACGATGAAAACTTGGCGATCTTGCTTCAGCTTCATTCCCTTCCCACTGCACGCGGGATTTCAGCTTCAATGGAACGTCCAGCGTTCTTTGCACGTTTCTGCCAACGGTCTCCACCCTCCTTTTTCTCCTTCTCGCTTTCTTAACCCTCCCGAGATCCTACGGCATCGTTGGTCGCAGCTTGTATATCATGGTTCGTGCCAGCGAGCAAACGCTCGTGGACTTGGATTTCATTACCACCACTATAGATTAAAGGGCGGATTGCCCATGGTAGTGCTTTGCTGGGCGAGGACGGCGCCTCGCGCAGCAAAACACTACCATGGGTCAGCCGCCCCTGGCATATAATAGTGGTGGTGGTGTTGAAAAGTAGGCGCCCGAATGCTCCACGTTCATTGCAGGGCTTCTTTCACGCGCCCGCTGTGTTGGGAACCCAAGCGCGCGCGAAGCGCGCGAGGATGTTTTGCATTGGCTGCGACGCTCTGCTACCAGTCTGGAAAAGATATTCGGTCCACTCTGTGCACCGCCTGGGGCCGAGTCCGTTTCGTCTACGCTGCGCTTTTGTTGTTCTTCCCCCACTTGTGCGTGCAGTGTTGCAGATCCGAACCCGATGTTCCCGCGCCAGGGGTGCCCGCCCGTGCCAGAGTCCAAGCCGTTTGACTGCGACGCGGGCTTCAACAATTGGCAGAAGGGGTGGTCGACCGACAAGCAGGCGGCCGGGCATGGAGAGGGACAACATGTTATCTACGGTCGGAGGGGCTCGATGTCTGCACCACGTCGCTTGTTCGGCCAAGATCCATGGAACTCGGTGAAGGTTTTTGGTGTGCAGACGCTCCAGCGTCCTTTCGGTTGGGAAGGTCGGGCGTGTATACAACGAGCCGACCAGACGTTTTGGTGTATACTTCGAGCCCCTCCTGTACGACCATAGGCGAATCGTATTATTGTAGGTCAAAGCGCTTTGTGGGGTACCCGACGTCACCCTCCAAGGGATTAGGATTCGCGCGTGGTAGCACGTGGTTTTCTCATTCATCTTTGCCGTTCTCGTTGCTGTAGAAGATTATTGTGGGCGCGGGCGTCGTAAATAGACCGGCTTGCATAGAGCAGGTGGAGGGGTAGGAAGAGGGATGACGGCAGGAGGGAGGAGAGGAGAGAGGGAGGCCAATGAGAGGCAGGAGAAGAAATAGTGAGGGGGGCGTTTGGCGTGCAGAAGCCCATCCGCCGAGACATTGCCCCACCACGTCCCTTTTTTATGTTTCGTCTGCCGCATCAGACCGTGATACGTGTCTTCGGCATGTTCATCTGCAGTTCCACTGTACATCATGTGTTCTTTACGCTCCGTGTCATTGTCTCTTCGCTGTTGAATATCACCGTAATTTTTCCTTCGCGATCTGCGCCCCGTGTATTTCAGATGCGCTTTGCTACCATGCACAGCGGAGCCGCACAGGTGAGTTGAGCCGTTGCTCCTCGTCATGTCGTGATTCCATGTCATTGCTGCTGTCGGTGTTATCGACGTGGAAATTTTGCAACTTTTACACGGGTGGTGGGTGGTCCTTGGCATTTCGTTGAACTGCATGGTGCAAGTGTTTCCCTGCTCCTGACTGCGCGCCAGAAGGATGCAAGGAAGTTCTTTTCAAACACGGGGCCCTCGCCAACATGGCAGGCCCAACTACATGCATGTGGATGTTTGCAAAAAGAAGAAAAACCATGGCAGGCACAACTGCGCTTGTTTTTCAAGCTGGTCGTTTCTTGCAGTGGCAAATAATGTTAGCAGGGACTTATGAGGAGGGGATTTTGGACGGGAGGGCGTAGTGCAGCATCGCTGATGCATCTTTGGTTTTTCTGGTCCTCCTCCTTCCTCTGCTGCACGCGGTGCAGTGTATCGTGCCCTTCCTCCCTCTCCTCCTCATTCCTTCTCTTCCCTTCCCTGCTCGTCCTACCCCTCCCTCCTGAATCCCCCCCCTCTTTCGTCCTGCACAGGGGAGGGGGGAGAGGCAGATGGGACTGTGCCTCGCGCTCTTAGTGCAGGAATGGTGCTGCAAGAACGAGAAGAAGGCATGCAAAGAGCCTGCGCCGAAGTACGACTGCAAGAGTCACAAAGACGATTGGGAGGTCTTGCGGGTTGGCTTACAGTTTTGTGGGCGACTGGTTAGTTAGGTCGTATAGGCCATGCGTGGATATGAGCACACCGCGCGTGTGTGATGTGAAGCTGGGCCGGCTGTTTTCGGTTTCAACCGAACACATTGCTGTGGGGGTTGTGGAATTGGATGGAGGGGAGGGGCATTGCGTGGTGGGGTGCATTTGGGTATGGACGACACTGGGGAGGCAATAGGATATCACGCAGCCGTTCAATCAACCAATAGCCAGCCAGCAGGATGCCGTGTGACCAGTGGGTACGGCATGTTCGCGCCGCGTTAACGTGGCGGCGAGTCCAGCGTTGACGTGTAAGGTTGACCGCCGCCAGGGGGCCAGAGTCGGCCGATATCGAACGCACTGCACCATCAGTAATTTGCAGTCTGCCAAGGTTGAACGATCCACGGGGTGTCAGCGACCAAAGCCCACGTCAACGCCACGCGAAACTGCCGTAGTGGCCATGTGCAAGACGCTGTGCCGAGTGCGTCAACCCGCGGCTCGCTTGGGCAGGTCGCCTGGTCGATCCAGCAGAAGGTGGCGGCGCCCCCACCATTTGCTGCGGGACGGGCCCGCGGGAAGATGCGGTTGTTGCCAGAGGTAGCCCTTGCCCAAAGTCGGATTCGGAATGGGTCCTTTGCAAAGGTCTCGAACATGTACTCAACAGTTCGTGCAGTCGGTCGTGCGGAAGACGCAAGTCGTGCAGAACCAGCGCGTGGCTGCCACGCGTCGTGCGCCAAAGGATGAAATATTGCATGTTTTGCGACCCCATGACGAATGACCCCCTGCGCCCGGAACCAACAAGGCCGAAGTAAGAATTATCGGCATAAACACAAACTTTCGGCGCTACGCGCAGATCTCTTCGATTTCCGTTGGGGCCTAAGGGTGGCGTCTCCGGCGCCGTCCCTGGTGCGCTCCGTGCGCTCCCCGCGCTTGGGAAGGGGGTCTCATCGCAGATGCAAGAATTCCGCGCGGACCTCCGATAGATCGTGGTCATGTCGTTTTTTCTTCCTCTCAACTTTTCCAGGATCGTCCAGATGGCCTCCAGCGCGCCCCTCGTGGGGCCCAGACGGCCTCGCAGGGGCCCGAACCGGCGCAAAAAGCCAGGGGCATCTTCGGGCCCGCGAACAGAGATGGCAGGGGAGGGAGGAGGAGGGCGCCACTGCGGGCCCTGACTGCCTCGGCCCGGCCGGGGGCCCCGTCGGGGCCGCGGCGTGGCCGCGGCCGCGGCCGCTCCGGACCGCCCCCGAGCGCCGGGGGCAGGAGTGATGGAGGAAAGGGGCAGGGGAAGGGTTGACGGGTGGAGGGTAATGCGCGAACGAGGAGGAGGAAGAGGAGAGGAGGAGGATTGTTTCCTCTTCCTCTTCTTATTGTCCTCCTTCTCCACCTCCTCTTCCTCGCGCACGTATGAGCAACTCCACGGGTCGCTTTCGATTTGTCGGCTTCAATCTGTCCGCCGCCTCCCGCGTGTCCAAGATAGCTGGCATCGTCGCCGAATATCCCGTCCACGACGTGATCGTGCCAGGCGGGACCCAGCTTCGCAGTTCAGGCGGGTTTGTCAAGCCAGAACTCAAAGTTGACTCCTTTCGTTGCCACAGGTTCGGCTACAAGCGCGGGCGCCTCGTCTCTCCGTCTTGTGGCACCAACATTTTGTTAAACAACCATCGTTTTTGGAAGCACCCATTGAACCGCATCATCCCAGTACCTAAGCAGTTGTGGGGTCGTGCAGGTTGCGTTCTATGCAGACAACAAGAAAAAGCGAATGTCACCATCGGACTACATTTCCCTCCTCGGGTGTCCCAAATTCGACAAACGCAAGCATACGACATTGCAGTGACGTGTCTTGTGTTTTGGTTGCAGAGTACTCCTGAGTTCCTGGATAGTAAGCGTGCGTTTCCTCTTCTGTGCATGGATCTGAGCGGTGGGCTGGTGCGTTCCGTGGATGGTACGGTGGCAGGTGAGTTCGGCATCGGCAGCACGTGTCGTGTGTAACCAGCCATCCGACCTGCGCCTGAAATGTGATTTTTCTTTGCGGCGAATGCGTTATTCCAGAATCCAGCTTCGTTCGTAGGCGAGACGGTTGAGAGCCACATTGACCACGTGGTTTCCCACGCGCGCAATTGCCAGCGGTTGGGAGTTGTCGAGCGCATATCGTACCAGCCCGCCGATTTCAGTTGCAGCAACATGTTTCTGCTCGCGATCGCAGGTTGTTTGATTTCGTTGTCACACTGTTGCCACAGCTGCACCTTTGCCAGCACGACCGGCCCGGCCAAATCGAGAAGCTACGTAAGAGCGTGTGCATATGGATTTCATCAGGCGAGAACCCACCCACGCACATTATCAGAAGGCGGAGGAGGAAAGGAATAATGGAGGACGGGAAAATACATGACCTGAACGCAACACTCACGCACGTCTTCAACAGCGCTGGACGCGATGTTTTTACTGCCTCGCCCCTCGTCTCCGAGGAGCGGGTCGCCAGTGCTAAGTTTCTTGGGGGCACCCTAGCGCAGCGTCGACGTTGCAGAGAGCTGCTAGGTAGGGCAGCAACCGACATGATAGCTCGACAGCACACCTAGAAGATCAGGCAGCTCAGTCGCCAACTGCGGGACGCGGCCCGAAAGCACTGGGGGAATACTCGTGCTCGGAGAACTGACTAGCTCGAGCTGGCGCTAGGGCGACGCATTCGCTACCTCGTGCACAAGCTGCCCCACATGCCGGCATTGACAGAGGACCTCGCAACAAAAAAGCATCGTCGCTCCCTTCCCCTCTCGTCTGCTTGCGCAGCTATTCGGGCAGAGCGAATGAAGCATTTTGCAGAAAATGGAAGGCGCTCGGCCACGGGGGTTTTCTTGAACAGAATTGAGTTGGGATCCAGGCGCAGGAACCGCGCTCCTCGGAGCGACGTCAAAGCTGTCGGGTTAGCCATGGCGGACTATTGCGCAATGTCCAGGCAGCTTCGTTTCTCGGGAAATTCGCCAGAGTGGCCCCGCCCCCCCGAGCTGCAACGGTTGCTTCTTCGCCCCGCGCGGGCGAACGACCGGCGGCCATGTCCACGCGTTGGTCTAGGTCATGGCGCAGTCGAGCTTGAAGGCGATCGGGCCGCCGAAGTATTCTAGACGTTGCTGTGGGCATGTTCGCGCCGGGGGCGCGCCCCCGCATCGTGGCGCGCCGCGCTGCCGACTCGGCCGCAGTGGACCTGCGACGGGGAGAGAGCGACCGCGGCAATGTGCACCCTGGGCCGCGGCTACAACGCATGAGCTTGGCATCGGAAAGCCAGCCGCCGGTCTCTTCCTGCTCTGGTCGAAGGACTCGAGCATTGGCGACGTGACTCCGCAATGACTCTCCAGATCATCAGTAGCTTCAGACTGCAGGAGGGCGGCGTGTCTCACCTGTTCCGTTGCCACGACGTGTCTTACGCGTTCTTCTCACTCGGGCATGCAGCCGTGCTGGGCGTGCCGATTATACTTATTTTGCCATCGACGTCGGCTTGTTCGTTCGAAGTTCGCGTGGCACGGGGGGTCCTCGTGTCAAGCTCGAAGACGAATCGGGGCGTTTCTAAGTTCGTCTTGAGAATGGGTCATGTCCTCGGTGCGTGTGCTGCGCCGCTCTTCGCGCGCTTATTCTCTCAGCCTGTCCTGCAAGGCGTTGCTGGTCAGTTCTGCGCGCGTGTATGGCGCGCAGCTCTCGGGGCTCGCCTTCCCTGGGATGAGCGCGGCGCGGACGCGCGCCAAGCGACGCGCGCTGGGTTTTTGGACGATGCCGGAGTGAGACGGAGACCAGAGAGGGTGGGCCGCGACGTTTCGCAGCAGGGTCCACAGCGGAGAACGAAGCCATATCAGATGGGACGGGGGTGGTGGGAGCAACGCAAAACATCGCCAAACAGTAAAATATCACGCAGGGCGGAGCGCGCGCATTCACTGGGCTCGCGCCTCGGGGGGCGCGCGGGGAGATCGATGGAGTTTCGCGGCGCCGCGTTTGCTATTTTGTCGGGCACTAATCGTTTACATTTTCTGCTGCTCCAGAAGTTGGCACGCGCCTTGCAGCGTTTCGAGTCAGCGACTGCGCCATGGGCAGTTGTCGCAGGTTAGCAGAATATTCACTGGTAGGTTTTGCTTCAGGTTTCATGGGGCGTGTCATGCCGTTGGGGCACGTGTGGCTCAAGGGGGAAACGTCCACTGCCCCTGCTGCTGCCGCAGTTGGCTGCGGGGCCCGGTGCGGCGGGCGGCCGCGGGCGGCGGCGAGCAGCCCCGAGGGGAGCTGTCTCGGCTGCCGCTCGCGAGCCCCCGCTGTCTCCAAGCTCGCGCCGACGGGGCGGCGCGGCGCGCGAAGATGCCCGACGACGACGACGGCGGGAACGCGACCGCCTTCTCGGGGGACTCAGGAGCGACGCCTGGGGCGTCGTCAGGGGCGCCCGCCGATCCACCGGGGGCGGAGGCCCACTCGGCCCAGCAGCTGGGGGGGCCGGCGGCTGGGGTGGTAGACAGATGGATTGCGGGCGCGGCGCCGGCGACCCCTGGCGGAAGAGCGGACCGTCAGCAGCAGACGGCGCGTGGTCCGCCAGGGGTCTCCACGACAGATGGAAGGACGACAGTTGGGAAGGCGACGGTTGGAAGGGCAACGTTTGGAAGGGCGACCTGGGCGACGGCGCCTGGAAGGGGCGATTCAAGCTGGAAGCCGCGGCAGGGCTCCGGCGGAGGCGGAGGCTGGCGCGGCGAAGGCGACTGCAGCGACCCACCAGCATGGCCCAGCTGGGGCCGCTACCGAGCCTTGCGCAAGGCCCTCCGCTGGTGGGGCACTTTCACGGGTGTGTCGACATGAAGAAGATCTGAGAGTTTTATTCGTCTGCTCGAGGGGAATATGCAGTCTCAGTTCGACGACATGTCAGAGCGCGCGCTGACTAGTGACGGGTTGATAGATGCAGACCTGAAGAAGATGGATCGAGCGCGCGCGTGGGGACCGATAGACTAAAAGGGGGGCCCCGGCTTGAAGCCCCCGGCTTCGGAAGCTTAACCCCAAGCTACCCCCCCCCCCCTCCCTCGCCCATTTGAAAAAGGGGGTGGGGGGGTGGGGGGGGGGCTTGGGCGGAGGCACCCCCCCTTCCCCCCCCCCCCCTTCCCCCCTTTGCCGCCCAGCTCCCGGAGCCATCGCCCTTCCTTTCGCCTCAATTTATTCCCGCCCGTCTCCCTCCTCTTCTTCCTTTTGCCTCCTCCTTTTCCTCGTCCTCCTCATCCTCCTCGTAGTCATCATCGTCGTCATCGTCGTCATCATCGTCATCGTCATTGTCATAATCGTACTCCCCCGCGGGTCCTTCCGTTCCGTTCCTCCTCCCCCTCTGTTGTCTCTTCCTCGTCCTCCATTTTTCCCTCGTCCTCCTCCTCCTCCTCCTCCTCCTCATCATCATCCTCTTCCTCCTCCTCCTCCTCGTGATCCTCCTCGTCCGTTTTCCCATCCTCCTCCTCCTCCTCCTCCCTCTCATCCCCCTCCTCATCCTCCTCCGCCTCCTCCCCCTCCTCCTCTGATTCTTTTCCCGCCGCCCC